CTTCTGACCGTGGTCGTGAATCGTGAGTAAAATAAAATTATTGCCAAAAATGTGCTGATTATTTAATACAGCGCAACGGTGTACCGCCACTACGTTCATTTATATTATTTGGCTGCGACAACACCAAGCAATACAGTAAACACAATAGGAGTGATTCTAGATTTGAAGCTTTTGTGACTGCAAGGATTCATACTCTTACGTTTTTTCTGTAAAGTCACATAGGTAAAAAGAAAAAATAATAGAAATATTTTTTTTTTCTTTTACTATTTCTATTATTTCTATTATTTATTTTTACCTACGTGACTTTACCGGAAAAACCTAAGAGTATGATAGGAGTGCAAAGTATAGGAAAGGTAAACAAATCACACACACAATAAATAAACTATTTTTGTAAATATTGTGGGTTTACTCCACAACATTAGGAATCCGATGAACTATGATGTCCCATCGGGGGCACGGGGTCAGAAAGTTACAACAACACAAACACAAACACGATAGGTGTATTTTTATTATTTCCCTTCTACGTGACTTTACCGAAAGAACCAAAAAGACTAATGTATTTAGAACTATACATTAGTGCTTTTTGGTTTTTTATTATTTGAATTTCAAATCTTTTTTATTCACATTATTTAAATTTTATTTTTTCTATCTACGTCACTTTACCGAAATATCCAAAGATTATGAATTCCTGCAGTCACGAAAGTTTTAAGTCAAAATTTATTTTTGTAAATGTTGTGGGTTTCCTCTCCAACATTATGAATCTGTAGGTAAAAAATAAAATTAATTTTAAATAAAATAAAATTTAAATTAATAAAGTACTTTTATTAGTAAAAAATTAAATTAATTTTAATTTAATTTTTTACCTACGTGACTAGAATTATGAATCCGATGATCTATGAAACTCTTTTTCATAGATGTCCCATAGGGGTCACGGGGTCAGAAAGTTACAACAACACAAAACACAAACACGATAGAAGCACAAAGTAGAGGAAAGGTAAACAAATCATTAAACTAAAACTAAATCTATGTTTACTTCACCAGGTGAAGTCCACTGAGCTATTGGCTTCTTCTTCAGAAGCGACCTGGCTGCCACAAGTGACAGCTCAACCAAGTGGCTTACCACGTGCACATTTATAGCAGCAGCCAAATACGTTAAACGCGTGATGTTGATTCTACATGTGGAGCGAAAACCCGGAGGACCGGGATCGAACCCACGACCTCCTGTAGACCAGGCGAGGTAGTTAACATCTCACCGGGGAGAGACACACGCAGACTCCAGATATGTGACAGGCATCGTCAGGGTCGGGATCGAACCCACGACCTCCTGTAGACCAGGCGAGGTAGTTAACATCTCACCGGGGAGAGACACACGCAGACTCCAGATATATGACAGGCATCGTGTGGTGCCACAACGACGGGGCCGCTCTGCCGAGCCAAGGAGCCGCCCGGCTTCCACCACTGCACTGCCCCCCATCACCCCCCCCACATAAGCACGCACCCGCACCCACGTAGGGCCTTGTGGTCGGGTCACCTACCCTGAGTTTTCACCCGAGGGCCCCCTCGGGGGGTTACCCCACGGTTTCTCAGGGCCAGGGAATTGGACAAGACCCTTCCCAGGCTAATTAACACTGCGGCGCCGTGGGCGGATTTGAGATCGCACGACCACGGCGAGCTCAGAAAGCCCCGCAGTTAGAAACGCATACAAACACAAACACGGGTCAGCAAGGCAGATAGCTAGGATCAGGACCCGGGGCTGCTGCTTAGCAAAAAGGTCAAAAGGCCGGCGGGATCGCAAAAGGGCGGGAAATCCTAGGCTCAGGATTGGTCGAGAGACCAAGGCGGTCGGGACGGGGGCGCCTAGCTTTGATGTGGATAGTTTAAAAGAAAACGCAGGGGCAGTAGGGGACTCTCTTCTTCTGGAGTAGTGACACGGGGTCAACGACGAGGGAGCCATTGGGCGAGCCGCAAGATCGTCTGCAGGACGACCTGAGCGCCGCAAGGTCACCTAGGACTACAGACGGTATCGTATTACGCGCCTTACAACACCTCAGAGCGGAGAGTAGGATCCGTAGGAGAAGGTTAGTTCGGGGTAAGGACGAGTAGGAAAGCGGTGTAACAGAGAGCGCAGCATAGAATAGGGCTGCACGCCACTGGAGAGTGGGTTGGAAGCGCCTTGCTGGCTCGTACACACACACGGGTGGCTCGGTGAGTTAACAAGGGTTAATAAAATCTCGAGCGTAGTAACAAAACCGTGTTGTTGGGTGTTTTTGAACGTGGTATTAGCGTGCACTGCATTCGCGGGTGTGTGGTCGTTGTATGCGTAAAGGCCGTGGTCTCTGTACGATGGTGCGGGTACGGAGGTGTGTGTGCTAACGCCCGGGGAGAGCACTTTTGTGTGTTGGCATGCCTACGCAGCCGTGTGAGAGGAGAATCGTCCTTGCACGATACTGGTGTTGACGTGCACGCGCGAGTGCGGGAGGGGACGAGTCGTCGTGTCGGCGTGCACCCCGCTCGCGTGTGTGAAACCGCGGTGCGCAGTGAAGCTGTTAGCTTTGTGCGAGCTTGCGTGTGCTCGAGCGCGTAATCGGCTGCGCATTGTTGTACGGTTTATCTCGCGCGCACGGCGGCGGCAGCTTGAGTCGTTGTGTCGGCGCGTGCCCCGCTTGCGTGTGCTCGTGTGATCTCGTGTTATAAGTGTGAACGTGTGTAATACAGGTGTGCGATCCTAACGCGAGTGGTCAGTGTTGAGTGAGTGCCGTGCAGAGCTGTGTGTGGGAGTGCGCATACGTTCGTTACGTGTCGGATACGGATGCGCATTGGTAACGTGCCGCACAGGGCTATACTGCGAGTACGGCGTTTGATTGATGATGATGTGCGCACGTATGCTCGCAGCGTGGGAGCGCGGCGCGAGGCTGTAATAGTAGGGGTGTCGCATTCGAATGCCGGCGAAACCGTAGCGGGTAATAGGGAGGTGGGGTAACGTAAACGGAATAGGGGATGCAGGCGGGAGAGACCCCGGGGGCCAACGGCCCTCACAATCGTCAGGGTCGCCATCGAACCCACGACCTCCTGTAGACCAGGCGAGGTAGTTAACATCTCGCCACCGTGTCGCCCCATGCATGCCACTCTGCTACGACGTCTTGGTCTCATCATTATAATTACTGCGACAATTAGTTGAGTTGCGAAGAGGCTCGGCCTGCCGTACCCACCGAGGTTCAGCAGGACGGCGTGGTTCTGCTTGATGTTCCTGTAGCGCCGCTTCTCGCACTCGGCCAGATCGCTCCACTCGGCCTTGGTGAAGAAGCCTCTGATGTCTCGGAAGTCGCCCATCTCCTGCTGCTGCTGCTGCTGAGGCGCAGAGACACGGAGGGACGAGACGCGGACGACGGTCAGACGCAGTCACGGAGATGGAGTCACACGGAGACAGAGTCACAAGGATACGAGACTAAGATCCCCTGTGTGGCCTTAACAGACTGTCGGGTCAAGCGCTGTGAGCGAGCGGCGCCTATGAAGGCCGGAACGACACACGAGGGGGTGGGTGGCCAGCACCACGCCCGGCCGCCTTTGTCTCCCCAGTGGCGATGTTCACTACACACCGCTACCACCAGGAACTCATTTGAGGCCGAGTCGACCTAGGGGATGAGGCCCAGGACCGGTTCAGAAGATCGTCACCGGTCAGAGACCCCAGTTCCATTCCCGCTCACGGCCACCACCAACAGCGGTGATGATCATCTGAACCGGTCGTGGACCTCATCCCCTAGGTCGACTCAGCCTCAAATGAGCACCCAGTTTAGCGGTGTGTGAACATCGCCACTGGGGAGACAAAGGCGGCCGGGCGTGGTGCTGGCCACCCACCCCTCGTGTGCCACAGCGCCGGTAGCCTTAGTAGGTGCTGCTCGCTAACAGCCTGTTAGAGGCTACACGGGGGATCTTTGTCTTTGTGGTAAAGTGTGTGAACTCCCACCTCTACCATGACGTACTAGCTCCAGCTTTACCTCGACCTGAGGTAACCTCAGGTAGAGGTTACCTCAGATATAGGTAACTTTACCTCAGATGAGGTAACATTACCTCAGGGAAGGTAACATTACCTTAGGTGAACTAACTTTACCTCAGGTAGAGCTAACCTTACCTCAGGTGAGGTACCATTACCTCAGGTGAAATAACTTTACCTCAAGCGAGGCAACATTAAGTTAGGTAGAGGTAACTTTACCTCACCTGAGGTAACATTACCTCAGGCGAGGTAATTTTACCTCAGGTGAGGTAACTTTACCTCAGGTGAAGTAGCTTTACCTCAAGCGATGTAATATAACATTAGGTAGAGGTAAAATTACCTCAGGTAAGGTAACATTATCTCAAATGAGGTAACTTCACCTCATGCGAGGTAACATTACCCTAGGCGAAGTAAAATTACTTCAGGTGAGGTAACTTTTCCTGAGGTGAAGTAACTTTTCCTGAGGTGAAGTAACTTTACCTCAGGCGACGTAACTTTACCTCGCGGGAGGTAACATCACCTCAGGTAAATGTAACATTACTTGAGGTAATCCGAACGTATTCACATCACTTCAGCTAATGTTCATATTTTTACGCTAATATCGTAATATCGTCACGTGGTTAAATCGTTAAACACAACGCTCGCGTGACGTCACCACCTCAGTGTCGAGCCGTCGACACTTCACGCGGCAGCCTCGAAGTGCACCCAGCCTGGCACAGGCGCCGTGGTGACGTCACCGTCACTCAGTGGCCAATGGCGGCGGTTGGTGGTGGTGGGGGGGAGTGGGGGGTGGGAGGGAGGAGGGGGTGGGGGGGGAATGGCGGTTGGGGGAGTGGGGGGGAGGGGCATCGGGGGTGGGGGTGAGTGGGCGGGAAAAGGGGTGGGGGCGGAATTGCGGTTGGTGAGTGGTGGGAGGGGGGAATGGAGGGTGGGAGGGGTGGGGGGTAACGGGGGAGTGGGGGGGCGAGACGCGTGACGTCACCACGCAGTGACGTCATCAGAGTTTTTAAGTTTAAAATTTTTATTCTGGAGGAATCCGATGAGCTGTGAAGCTCTTTATTGTCCACAGATGTCCAGTAGGGGCACGTGGTCAGAACGCCACAACAACAAACACAACACAATAAACACCGTAGCAGTGCAGAGTAGAGGAAAGGTAGGCACATGACCAAGACAAATCTGTAGGGGCGTGTGAATTGAAATCTGTAGGGCGTGTGAATTGAAATCTGTAGGGGAGTGTGAATTGAAATCTGTAGGGGCGTGTGAATTGAAATCTGTAGGGGAGTGTGAATTGAATTCTGTAGGGTCGTGTGAATTGAAATCTGTAGGGGAGTGTGAATTGAATTCTGTAGGGCCGTGTGACTTGCAATCTGTCGGACAGTGTGATGTGTAATTTTGTTGGGTCATAGTGTTACCATCCTTGAGGTGCAGGGATGACGACTAGGATTGGTGTTGTTAGGATTAGCAGCGAGCAGTTGTGACCAGGTGCTGCTGTGTGTAACGACTACAGATAACGCCGGGGGGGGGGGGGGGGGAGTTTAAGAGCCGGGAGCCGACAGCTTGGGGCTCGCAGTGGCTACAGCGACTATTGGAACGGTCGATGCGGCCTCTGCGTTAAACAGCAGAAGACAACGGCACAGTCTGGTTCTCCTACAACGCCGCGTGTTAGTTTGAACAACGCCGATTGGATGATATAACGCCGTGAATGATGTGTAGGGGAACACGCTGTTTGTAACGCGGATGCGGATTGGACGCAACGCGAGCGAGCGAACGGAACTACGTCGCAACGCGAGTAGGAACAAGCGGTTCTCCGTGCGGCTGCCTCGGCGTAGCGGCATCACGCGAGGAGGCATTGGGATGCTGCTGGATGCTGCTTCTAGACGCTACCCACGCGCCTCAGTCGTAGTCCGGCCTCTGTCTTACCCATCATCTCGCGTGTTGTTGCGGACCACGCTTCACCCCCTATAGTTTATATTATTTCTCCACAACGCGGTGTTCTTCAGGAACGCAACAATGACAAACCTCTTCTTGGTTCTTTCTGTAAAGTCACGTAGAATGGAAATAATAAAATAAGAAAAATAAAACAATAAAATAATAGTTTTATTGTTATTATTTTATTATTAAATAAAAGTGTTATTATTGTATTATTAAATAATAAAAAATACACGGATTACTTTATTTTTATTACTTTGTTTCCAGGTGTGAAAACCACAGCAATAAATTGTTTTTGCTGTGGTTTTCGTAACCTGATGATGATTGATTGTGTTGTAATCGAAACGTCGTGTTAATTTGTTTCTTAATTTTTATTTTATTATTTCCCATCTACGTGACTTTACCGAAAGAACCAAGAATATAGTAGATTTATTTTCACTTCACTTTACTTTTCCAGGTAAGGCCCCCACTGAGCTGTGTAGTAGCGACCTGGCTATCACAAATGACAGCAGCGCACCAAAGTGGCTCATCACGTGACATTCACAGCAGCCAAATACTCTGAACGCATGTTGAGATGTTAACTACCTCTCCTGGGATACAGCAGATCGTTAGTTCGATTCTGACCCTGACGCCTGCTGTATATTTTGAGTTTTCCGCGTCTCTCTATCTCTCTCTCCCCGTGGTCGTGTGGATTTTTCTCCAGGTCCTCCGGTTTTCCCCTCAACATTTAGAATCGAAATCACGCAATCAGAGAATTTGGCCGCTATAAATGTCCACACAATGAGAAGCCACTTCGTTGAGCTTTCATTTGTGATGGCCAGGTGGTCGCGTCTGATAAAAGAGCTTCTACGTATCCAGTTGGACCTTACTTGGTAAAATCCAAAAATAATTTTTGTTAGTTTAAGTATGTGTATATATAATTGTAAACAGAATCACAAACTAACGCTCAACTTTCTTAAACGTGTAAGAGTCAACGCGCGCCACCACCGTGCGACATCACGCGAGCAACCGGGACGACGCAGAGAATCTCTCAACCCTTTCCCGCGTCCGAGACGTCTGCAGAGTTGCAGGGTCGGTGGGTGTCACCGTTCACGGGGTGGGTGTCACCGTTCACGGGGTGGGCGTCACCGTTCACGGGGTGGGCGTCACCGTTCACGGGGTGGGTGTCACCGTTCACGGGGTGGGTGTCACGGTTCACGGGGTGGGTGCCACCGTTCACGGGGTGGTAGTCACCATTCACGGGGTGGGTGTCACCGTTCACGGGGTGGTTGTCACCGTTCACGGGGTGGGCGTCACCGTTCACGGGGTGGTAGTCACCATTCACGGGGTGGGTGTCACCGTTCACGGGGTGGGTGTCACCGTTCACGGGGTGGGTGTCACCGTTCACTGCAGAATCCCGCGAATCGAGCGAGCGGCTTGCCCTCGTTAATTATATTTAGAGAGGCGCAGCAGCAGCAGCACTGTTGCTGTTGTTATAAAGACGTCGTTTGCTCACCGCAGAGAAGCGTAGCGACACGACCGCCGCCACTCTGCGCTAGCCGGCGCCAAAACTTTGCCACACTCCCTGCCCCGCGTGGCCCTGTGGGAGCCTCGGTACCGATAAAGTTACTTTAGTTTTTACTGCGTTTTGTTGTTCCGACAACGACGTTCACGCACGGCACACGGCGTTGTCGCAACAGCAAAGGTGAAGTTCACGCTGGGAACATTTTCAACGGGGGAGGCAGCAACAACACGCAGGGTGATCCAAGTGCAGATGCCCCACTCATACCTACACCCCCCCTCCCAACGCCCTATCGGAATATTTTTTCAGACCGCAGGAATCCGATGAGCTATGAAGCTCTTCTTCGCAGATCTCCAGCCGTTCCACAGATGTCCTCTCATAGCAACCCCCCCACCTCCTCCCCGTAGCTTTCCTCTCAGCAGCAAAGTGAATAGCGCACAAGCGATGGCTCGGGGCTACGGTACTGAGTCAGAGGTCGCAAACGGGTTTTGATTCCTTACCCGTACCTGGCCGCACCAGCGTCGTAAACAGGTACCCGTACCTGGTATCGGGTACCTGATTGCGACCTCTGGGGTGAAGCCATGTTGCAGGCGCGGGTGGGTTGATTCTAGGAACTTGAATTGTGAGAAGAGACAAGACGTTGGGAAATGAGTGACAGTTACTCACCAGTGACCGTAGGGTACGGGTATCGGGTACCCGGTTGCGACCTCTGGACTGAGTGTTCGGAGATTTGCGAGCGGATGCCACCTTCGTCATCGGCCGCGGTTCAGTCTACCGCTGGATGGGTACGTACTGTATGTACTGTACGTACGTCGCACGGGGCAGGGCTACGAGACGGCACGCGGTGCGCATGGAGACCGGCTGGAGACGTGCAGACAGGGGTATCTGTAGGTGGATCGCCCTGCGGTGCCCCCCTCTAGGGTAACAACAGTGCAGCTCTGCACGGGGGACTCTGCACACTCACACACACAGGGACCCCCAGGTGATGGGGAGGGAAGTGCAGTGGTTGGGACCTAGAACTCCGCACTTGCAATCGAGGGGTAGCCGAGTCGGTTTAATCTCGAACCCCCCACAGAATGTGAGGCAGGTGTAGGAGGATCCGTAGGTTTCCGTGTTCACATTCAAAATCAGTTTCAAGAGTGGCACAGCCTCGGCTAATCACGTGGCCTGTTGTGTAAAACTAATTCACAGCTCGGCGCTGTGCGCTTTTTGCTCAGGATGGCTGACTTTTCTGTTTTCACGGGAATGAGAAAATGCATTCTGGCCGGTGTGTGTTCTCTGGTGGCTGTGAAGAGTTGATAGCTGTGCAAACGCCTTCTCACACACGGTGCACTTGAACGGCTTCTCTCCCGTGTGTGTTCTCTGGTGGCTGTGAAGATGAGGTAGTTGTCCAAACGCCTTCTCACACACGGTGCACTTGAACGGCTTCTCTCCCGTGTGTGTTCTCTGGTGGCTGTGAAGATGTGATAGCCGTGCAAACGCCTTCTCACACACGGTGCACTTGAACGGCTTCTCTCCCGTGTGTGTTCTCTGGTGGCTGTGAAGATGAGGTAGTTGTCCAAACGCCTTCTCACACACGGTGCACTTGAACGGCTTCTCTCCCGTGTGTGTTCTCTGGTGGCTGTGAAGATGTGATAGCCGTGCAAACGCCTTCTCACACACGGTGCACTTGAACGGCTTCTCTCCCGTGTGTGTTCTCTGGTGGCTGTGAAGATGAGGTAGTTGTCCAAACGCCTTCTCACACACGGTGCACTTGAACGGCTTCTCTCCCGTGTGTGTTCTCTGGTGTATCTTCAAGCTACTCTTGTAGTCTGTGCTGAATGAACATTGGTCACACTGATGACTTTTGTTACTGGGCTTAGTGGGGTGTCTCCTCTGCACGTGATTCTGTAGACTCGAGCGGCAGATGAACTGACGGTTGCAGTCAGGACACGGCAGCCTTGTGACCTCCACACCCACTCCACCTGCATCATCCCAGAGGAACAAGACACACGCGCACACACCAACATCTAGACATGAACACTCTTGCACACGTGTGTGTGTGTGTGTGTATATACAAAGGTAAAGGTCCCCAACATACATAGACTATTGGGCAAGTGCTGTTTGCGAGTACCTATGAAGGCCGGCATGGCACACGAGGGAGTAGGTGGCCAACACCAGGCCCGGCCGCCTTTGTCTCTCCAGTGGCGATGTTTCCACATTTAAGCTAGGTACTCATTTGAGGCTGAGTCAACCTAGGGGAGGCCTAAATATTCACCACTGATGTTGGCCGTGAGTGGGAATCAAACTCAGGTGGCCGGGTTCGTAGTGCAGTGGGCTCCATTTATATACACACAAAGACAAAGAACCCCCGTATAGCCTGCATATACTTTTGGGACAAGTGCTGTTATCGGGCACCTATGAAAGCCAGCACGGCACACGAGTGGGAGGGTGGCCAGCACCACACATGGCCGCCTTTGTCTCCCCAATGGCGATGTTTACTACTACACACCACACCAGTTACTCATTTGCACCTTATCAGTGTGGGTGGTGCCTATCATCTCTGGTGAGTGGTGGCTATCATCTCTGGTGAGCAGTGGCTACCATCTCTGGTGAGTGGTGGCTATCATCTCTGGTGAGCGGTGGCTATCATCTCTGGTGAGTGGTGGCTATCATCTCTGGTGAGTGGTGGCTATCATCTCTGGTGAGTGGTGGCTATCATCTCTGGTGAGCGGTGGCTATCATCTCTGGTGAGTGGTGGCTATCAGCTCTGGTGAGTGGTGGCTATCATATTTGGTGAGTGGTGGCTATCATATCTGGTGAGTGGTGGCTATCATCACTGGTGATTGGTGGCTATCATCTCTGGTGAGTGGTGGCAATAGTCTCTGGTGAGTGGTGGCTACCATCTCTGGTGAGCAGTGGCTATCGTCTCTGGTGAGTGGTGGCTATCATCTCTGGTAATTGGTGGCTATCAACTCTGGTGAGTGGAGGCTATCATCTCTGGTGAGTGGTGGCTATCATCTCTGGTGAGTGGAGGCTATCATCTCTGGTGAGTGGTGGCTATCATCTCTGGTGAGTGGTGGCTATCATCTCTGGTGAGTGGTGGCTATCATCTCTGGTGAGTGGTGGCAATAGTCTCTGGTGAGTGGTGGCTGTCATCTCTGTTGAGTGGTGGCTATCATCTCTGGTAATTGGTGGCTATCAACTCTGGTGAGTGGAGGCTATCATCTCTGGTGAGTGATGGCTATCGTCTTTGGTGAGGTGGCTATCATTTGGTCAGCGGTGGCTATCATCTCTGGTGAGTAGTGGCTATCATCTCTGGTGAGTGGTGGCTATCATCTCTGGTGAGCGGTGGCTATTATCTCTGGTGAGTGGTGGCTATCATCTCTGGTGAGTGGTGGCTATAGTCTGGTGATCATTGGCGAGTCTCTGGTGAGCGGTGCTCACAATGTTCCTCGTTTGGTGGAGGCTGCACGGGCTGCAGGTCTCTGGCGGTGGCCCTGGGAGCCATCTCGTTGCTGCTGCTGTTGCTGCTGCGGCGTCGCGAGGGCCCGGCCTCGCAGGCGATGCCCAGCTCCTGGGCGAACTCCTCGCCGTACCAGACCAGCAGCTCAGAGCCGGGCCCCACGGCACGGAACGTGCGGTAGTAAATCTGCCCCCGGTGCTGGAAGGCCACCAGGTTCTGCTCCTGCTCATTCCTCGCGCAGTTGATGAACCTGCGCGGGCAGACGCGGGGGCGGGGTGGGCGCCGTTAGCGAGCGCCTATTAAGGGCCGGCACTGGGCGCTATGTGGGGGTGGTGTGGCTGGAACCATGCTCCAAGGGGAGGCCTGGGGTTGGTCTCTGTAGTGGTTCTGGTCTCTGTGTGTAGTGGTTCTGGTCACTGTGTGTAGTGGTTCTGGTCTCTGTGTGGTGGTTCTGGTCTCTGTGTGTAGTGGTTCTGGTCTCTGTGTGTGATGGTTCTGGTCACTGTGTGTGGTGGTTCTGGTCTCTGTGTGTGGTGGCTCTGGTCTCTGTGTGTGGTGGTTCTGGTCACTGTGTGTGGTGGTTCTGGTCTCTGTGTGTGGTGGTTCTGGTCTCTGTGTGTGATGGTTCTGGTCACTGTGTGTGGTGGTTCTGGTCTCTGTGTGTAGTGGTTCTGGTCTCTGTGTGTAGTGGTTCTGGTCTCTGTGTGTGGTGGTTCTGGTCTCTGTGTGTGGTGGTTCTGTTCACTGTGTATGGTTCTGGCCTCTGTGTGTAGTGGTTCTGGTCTCTGTGTGTGGTGGTTCTGGTCTCTGTGTGTAGTGGTTCTGGTCACTGTGTGTGGTGGTTCTGGTCTCTGTGTGTAGTGGTTCTGGTCTCTGTGTGTGGTGGTTCTGGTCACTATGTGTGGTTCTGGCCTCTGTGTGTAGTGGTTCTGGTCTCTGTGTGTGGTGGTTCTGGTCTCTGTGTGTGGTGGTTCTGGTCTCTGTGTGTAGTGGTTCTGGCCTCTGTGTGTAGTGGTTCTGGTCTCTGTGTGTAGTGGTTCTGGTCTCTGTGTGTAGTGGTTCTGGTCTCTGTGTAGTGGTCCTTAAGACAAGAATCACCTCATCCAGTTTGATTTAGATTCATCTTGAGCATCAACATATTCACGATCCTTTTTGTTTTTGTAAATCTGAAACACACACGCACACGAGCAGATCCCCGGATAATTAATGTGAGTTGGACTGTAAGTTGAACTTCTTTCGTACCGCACGTAGCCAACCGTGCTGATTGGAGGTGCGGGGGAAGGACAACAAACTAAACACTAAAAGCAGTTCTATAGAAATGCATTTTCAATCTACAAGATTTAAAAGTGCATAGCTCCCAGTGGCTTCCTAATATTGCAAGGAAGAGCCTTCCAGACGGCCGCAGAAGTGCATCTGTAAGCGCCGCGCCATGTGGTGACCACCGTGTTTGCTGTGTGTTACAAGTTGAAATTATAATTACGTTAATTTTTGGGTATCTCTGTGATTCTGGGTGTCTCTCTGAAATTCTTTGGGTGAGTCTCTAGGTCTCTGTACGAGTCTATGGGTCTCTGTGCGAGTCTCTGGGTCTCTGTGCAAGTCTCTAGGGTCTCTGTGTGAGACTGTGGGTCTCTGTGCGATTCTCTTGGTCTCTGTGCGAGTCTCTGGGTCTCTCTGTGCCAGTCTCTGGGTCTCTCTGTGAGTCTGTGGGTGACTGTGTGGGTTTCTCTGTATCTCCTTCACGAGCCTCCTCTCCACAAACACGATGATGATGTAGGAATAGGAGGAGGCTGCAGCAGTGGCAGCGGCAGCAGCAGCAGCTCACCAGCCAGCAGTACTCGCTCACGGGGTTCTCCTCAGACACCTCTCCCTGGTAGGGCCCAAACATCACCCCCTTGGGCAGCTTCTTCCTGTTGCTCCACACCCCGAGGCCGGCGCCGGCGATGGAGGAGGCGCCGACGGTGAGGCCCTGGGGCAGGCTGAGCCGGGCCCTGTTGGCCACTCCCGGGGCCACGGCCGCGTCCGCGATGAACTCTGGCGGGCCGTGCACGGAGCACTCCCCCAGGTAGTAATCCCTGCACAGCTCGCAGACTGAGAGCCACAGCAGCAGCGGGAGGAGGGCGAACCGCAGTAGCAACAGCAGCAGCAGTGGCGCTGTGAGAGAGTGAGAGGGTGAGGAGTGCTCCAGACAGATGCCTCCCTCCCTCCCTCTCTGCATGGTGAACTTCTTTAGCTCGCTCATCGGAGATGTATCCCCTGTCACCCTCCCTGCTCCCTCCCTGCATCCCTGAGTGAGGGAGCAAAAGAGAGAGAGGTAAGTGAGAGTACGAGAAAGGGAGCATGTGAGAGGGAGGGAAAGGGGGAGAGAGTGAGAGGGAGCAGGTGGAATATATTGGGTGAGAGCGCGGGAGCAATAGAGAGAGATGGGTGAGAGTGTGACAAACTGATGGGTGAGAGTGTGACATTCTAGATTTGAAGCTTTCGTGACTGCAAGGATTCATACTCTTAGTTCTTTCGGTAAAGTCACGTAGGTAAAAAATGAAATTAAAATTAATAAAGTAAATAATAAAATAATGCACCAAATCTTGCTGTGACGGTCCCACCTGATGACGGAGACTTGTGTTGCCTCCGAAACGTCGTGATTTTTATTTTATTTTTATAAATTTTTATTTCATTTTTTACTTACGTGACTTTACCGAAAGAACTAAGAGTATGAGAGTGTGACAAACTGACAATGTGAGAAAGTGAGAGAGAGGTAGGGGGAGCACGGGGTCTCACAGAAGAAGTCGTCGTCCTGGGGCTCCTCCACCTCTGTGTAGACTTTCCTCTCACGCGGGCGCAGGCCGTAGCGAGAGCGAGCGCTGCGCGACACCGCCACAGCCTGGGCGGAGGCCGGCGGCACGGAGGAGCCTGCAGGCAAACAAGGCGAGATGTTGACTACCTCTCCTGGTATACGGGAGGTCGCAGATTCCATCCCGACCCTGACGAAGCCTGCTGTATATTTGGAGTCTGCGTGTCTCTCTCTCCTCTGTGGCGAGATGTTAACTCCCTCGCCTGGAATACAGGAGGTCGTGGGTGCGATCCCGACCCTGACGACCCACGCTGTATATTTGGAGTTTGCGTGTTGAAACTCCCCGTGGTTGCGTGGATTTTTCTCTGGGTCCTCCGGTTTTTCCCCTTGACATTTAGAATCAACGTCACGTGTTGAGAGTATTTGGCTGCTGTAAATGTCCACGTAATGATGATGATGACAAGTCACTTCGTTGAGCTCTCATTTGTGATAGCCAGGTCGCTTCTGAAAAACATCTACACAGCTCAGTGCGGCTTACCCTGGTAAAAGAAACATCGTTTAGTTTATAGGCTGCATCAGTACCAGCAGCAGCACTGACAGGAGCACATGTAGCAGTAGCATCAACAGCAGTGGCGACTTCCATCAGCAGCCACAAAAGAGTGCGGAGTTCCGGTGAGGATAGAGGGGAGTGTGGAGTTCCGGTGAGAATAGAGGGGAGTGTGGAGTTCCGGTGAGAATAGAGGGGAGTGTGGAGTTCCGGTGGGAATAGAGGGGAGTGTGGAGTTCCGGTGGGAATAGAGGGGAGCGTGGAGTTCCGGTGAGAATAGAGGGGAGTGTGGAGTTCCGGTGAGAATAGAGGGGAGCGTGGAGTTCCGGTGAGAATAGAGGGGAGTGTGGAGTTCTGGTGAGAATAGAGGGGAGTGTGGAGTTCTGGTGGGAATAGAGGGGAGTGTGGAGTTCCGGTGAGAATAGAGGAGAGTGTGGAGTTCCGGTGGGAATAGAGGGGAGTGTGGAGTTCTGGTGTGAATAGAAATCACCGCTGCAGGCTACGCACCTCCACGTATCCTCTGGAGCGCCACCCTCAGGGCCTCCTTGCAGGCGGTGGCTCTGCGCTCCAGCCTGAACATCGCCATCCTGGCCTTGTACACCTCCCTCAGCTCAAATCCCCTGAACTCCTCCTCCTCCTGCTGCTGCTCCTCCTCCACGCCCTGCAAGATGCTCCACACGTACTCCAGGGCTTTCGCTTTAGTCTGAGCGGAGGGGGCGGTGGGGTGAGGGGGCGGAGGGGGTGTGGGGGGCGGAGTTGGTGCGGTGACCAGCGGTGGCTAGGAGATGTTAACTCCCTCGCCTGGTACGCAGGAGGTCGCGGGTTCGATCTCGACCCTGACACCTCATCGGATTCCTCCAGTACAATACATATTCTAATTCTGATATTCTGATTCTGTAAATCTGATTCCATACATCAAGCAGAACCATGCCGTCATGCTGAACCTCGGTGGGTATGGCAGGCCAAGCCTCTTCACAACTAAACTAATGAATAAACTAATTATAATAATAAGCCCAGACGTTGTACCAGAGTGCCATGCAGAGGGGGCATGGTAGCTAGGAGATGTTAACTACCTCGCCTGGTACGCAGAAGGTCATGTGTTCGATCCTGACCCTGATGTGGTGGTCGCTGCGTGGATTTTTCTCTGGGTCCTTCGGTTTTTCCCGTCACATTGAGAATCCGGATCGCTCGTTTTAGAGTATTTGACTCCCGCTAGAAATATCCACGTGATGATGATATCAGCCGCTTCGTTGAGCTATGAGTTGTGATAGCCGGGTACCGCTTGTGAAAAAAAGAGCGACTCTGTAGCTCAGTGAACCGTGACTCTGAGCTCCGTAACCTCCGAGTCTGCGATGGGACATCGACGTCTGCCCGTCTCGTGGAGTCTGCGCGCGTTGCAAACCCAGTGGTCATTGTCACCGTGGTCACGGTGTCTACGCTTGTCTACGCCCTTCTCAGGTTCTGTTCTATCACCTCGGATCCTAGAGAGGAGTGGCGAACGTCTCGTGTGTACGTGTTGTGTGTGTACGTTAGGTGTTTAGTGTATAGTAGTGTAGTGTATATTAGTGTATAGTGTAGTGTATAGTAGTGTATCATGGTGTAGTGTGTCGTGTAGTATTTAGCCATGAATAGTGTAGTGTATAGTAGTGTATCATGGCGTACGTCTCGTCTGTACGTGAGGCAGCGATAAGCGCGTGCCTGTTCCTATTTCTCTGTAATGATTGGAATTATACAGAAATTACATTTATAACACGGATCAGTGGAACATTTCTTTTTACTTTTCGTAACAGCTATTTTCATTGGAGTATATGACAGGCGAGACTCTGCCTCGCCTGCCTCCCCTGACCGCACGTCCCTGGTATAGCAGTGTTTAGTAGTATGTATGTACGTTGAATTTATTTGGCACCGTACGTAGCCATCCTCGTTAATGGGAGGTGAGGGGGAAGGACAACAAACTAAAGACAACAACAGCAGCAGCAGCAGCTGTAACGAGAGGAGTGCCGTGCGCTGTGCACAGAGACCTTGCGCTTGCTGGGAGCTGCCCTCGCGTGCCACTCTCCCACGGTGGCCCAGCGTGAAGCAGCCCCCTTGCCTCCTCCTGCGTGAACACACGCACACACGTGAACACACACACACACGTGAACACACTCACGCACGTGAACACACTCGCGCACGTGAACACACACACAAACACGTGAACACACACACGTGAACACGCGCACGCACGTGAACACACGCAACAACAACAACAGCCATTCGCCACTAATTGGCGGTGACGTCACCACGACGTTTGTGCCAGGCCATGTGCACCTTGAGGCCACGTGAAGTGTAGAACGCCCGCTGGCAGGAGGTCACAGGGCAGACCCAGGCGCCACGGGTCGATTGACTAAGATGACCGAGATGACTGGCTGATGCACCACCTGTGCCCCCTACTGTGCCAACTTGCTGTGCTTTTGCCACCCGGCGCTCCGCTCGTTGTTGTGAGCGTCGCTCCTCCGCCCTCCGTTGTTGTTGGAGGGCGTCCTTCACGAGCCTCCTCCACAGAGCCCGATCTTGACACCGCTGGTACCAGTCATCGGCAAGTCCACTCAGCTACATGTCCTCCTGTACCACATCACTCCATCTCTTCTCTAGCCTGTGTCACGCCTGTTTAGCCCCCTCGATCCGGCCGAACAAAAGCTGTTTAGGCATGCAGTGGCTGGGCATGCGGGCTACATGACCCAGCCAATGCAGCCTTGCCTGCCGGAGGAGCTCACCGATGGGACTTTGCCCAGATCTTTCAAGGATTTGTGAGCTCCTCACACAATCCAGCCTGGTAAAACCCAGGATGGATCGTAGGCAGGCCAGCCTAAATGTTTCTAACCAGCGAAGATGCTCCATTAGGGGGGTCCACGTTTCGCAAGCGTAGAGAAGGAAGGGAATGACTGTGGCCGAGAAAACCTGAAGCTTCGTGCGGAGTGACAGACCAGGTAGCTTCCACACAGCGTTACGCAACCGATGAAAATATATTGCCGCTTGACTGATTCGGAGTGAGACCTCTGCTGTTAAACTGGAGCCGGTCATAAGCACACTGCCCAGGTATGGGAAACTCTCCACTCTCTCCACAACTGCCCCATCACTGATTGGGAGTTGTGTGGGTGGAGTGTCCAATGGTACAAAATACCCAGGCAGGTACTTAGTTTTTGGTGGGGCTGATGGTAAGGCCCCACCTCCTAGTGGCATTCTCCAGTCTCAGCAGCAGCGTCTCCAACTCCTCCTCTGAATGAGCAGCTATTACTACATCATCGGCATACATAACGTGGTTGACCAATAGGGAGCCATCCCTTGATCGCACCCAGGCATCGATCAGCCTCCCATTATATCTACTAAATGGAAATTCCCTCGGTACAGCTATTGAAGGCTTCACGAACTACGTGGTCAAAATTGATGTTAAATAATGTGGGAGCCAGAGGACATCCCTGTCACACCCCAAGGTGTACAGGGAATGGCTCCGACTCCCGGCTACGTAGTTTTACCCGGGCCCGCTCACCATCATTAAGGTCCTTAATGATCGTGAGCAGAGGGTCAGGGACTCCGAAAGCACGAAGAACAACCCAGAGCCCAGGCCTACTGATGGTGTCATAGGCCTTGACCAGGTCAATAAAGCAGAGATGTAGGTCTTGTTGGAATTCCCTACACCTCTGCTGTAGCAGACGGACAGAAAATATGGCATCTGTGCAGGACCGCCCTTTCCTGAAACCGCATTGGGGATCCGCAAGCCTCTCCTCAGCGTGCCTAGCAAGGCGATGTTGAATAATCCTTGCCAGCACCTTTCCCGGCACACTGAGGAGTGAGATGCCCTTGTAGTTGTTACAGTCTGTGCGGTCCCCCTTCTTAAAGAGGGGGACCACCAGGGCATCCTTCCAATTCTGCGGTACCCGTCCAGTGGTCCAGACTGTTGTTATGATGTCATATAGGGCAGTCTGTGCACAAACGCCACCCTCCCTCATCATTTCGCTTGGGAGATCATCTCTGCCCGGTGCCTTTCCTGGTCTCAGACTCCGGATCGCCTTCAGTACTTCCTCAACAGATGGCATCTCAGCCAGCCACTCACAGAGGGTGACTTCTTCCAATATTTGAGGCACCACAGCCTCAGCAGGGTCATCCCCACTTTGTGCCATGATGTTTTCCTGGCTGAGGGATTTCCCCTCCCCCAGGACCTCACAGAAATGCTCAGCAAATCTGCAAACCTGGTCCTGGGGGTCGGAGATTGGATCACCGTTTTTTCCCCTAATGATGGTAATCGGTGTGGCGCTGGAGGTTACTTTTTTGATGGAGTTAAATAGTGATTTGTGATCGTGGGCCACTGAGGCAGACTCCATCTCCTCAGCAACCCGTGACCACCACCCATCCTTGCAGCGCCTTACGGCTCTTCAACCCTCCGAGCGAAGGTTGCGGTAAGCCTCCTCATTGTCTGACGTGGGATGCTGGAGCCAATGAGAGTGGGCCTGTCACTTTTTCTCAACTATCCTGAACACCTCCTCTGTCAGCCAGGGTCTCTGGGGAGTTCTGGAACGCGTACCCAAAGCAGCCATTGCAGCTGCATGAGTCACAGTCCTAAACCTCGCCCATTTACCCTCGACATCAGGAAGACTGGGGGATGATGCCAACCCCAGCCGCAAGCGATGATGAAATTCTCACTTGCAACTTTCATCAGCTAACTAAAACCAGGCCACTTTAGGTTGGAATGGGGTCCTGGGTGTACACCCACCACCAGAGTGGAAGAATGGCAGGCGCATCTTACAGATGACTAGTCGATGGTCAGAGGGCAGATCAGCTCCACGGTACAGTAGGTCCTGGTGTCAAAGACATGGGTTCGCATCCGCTGGTCCATCACTATGTAGTCCAGCAGATGTTCTTGCTTGGACCCGGCATGCATCCATGATGTTGTGTGGATGCGCCGATGTCGGAAGAGCGTGTTGGTAATTACAAGCCCATGGGCTGCACAAAAATCTAGCAGCCTCCTACCGTTGTTATTGAGCTGATCTGGCCCATGCCCTCCAATCACTCCAGACCAGGTGCCAGTATCATGACCAACTCGGGCATTGAAGTCACCCAACAAGATTACTCTATCCCGAGTGGCCACTTTAGCCAGTACCTGTGACAGGAGGTCATAGAAGGCATCTGAATCATCGGCTTTGCCTGCATCTCTCCACGGATGTTCGTCTTTGGTGGGGGCATAAGTAACCACGACCACCACTCCTCGCCTCCTGTTGATGGGAAGTCGAGCCCAAAGTAGCCTGGGCCTTACAGCTTCCCACACCTCATCGCCACGCTCCCAAGCCCCCTTCATTCTTTTGTTCATAAGAAGAACACACGCACACACGTGAACACCCGCGAACACACGCACGCACGTGTCCATGTGTGTGAACACATGGATACCCGTGAACACACGCACACACGTGTGAACACGCGGACACGCATGAACATATGCAAAGACAAATATCCCCCGTATAGCCTTAGCAGACTGTAGGGGCAAGTGCTGTTAGTGAGCCAGAACGGTACACGAGGGGGTCGGTGGCCAGCACCACGCCCGACCGCCTTTGTCTCCCCAGTGGCGATGTTTACACACTGTACCAGGTACTAATTTGAAGGTGAGTTGACCTAGGGGAGGCCCAGGACCAGTTTAGATAATCGTCACTGGTGTTGACCGTGAGCAGAAATCGAACCCGGGTCGCCAGGTTCATAGCGCAGACTGCTAACCAGTTTAACATGTAGGATTTCGCGACCAATATTATTAATTTTTTGGGTTATATCGCGTAAATATGAATGTGTCGTTAAACCCGTCACCACCCGACGCAGCCAATCCGTAAGGTTTGTCAGGTAAACAAAACGTACCAATTAGTTACTAGTTCAGCACTAACCGGTTGTGTTGGACAGTAAACCCACAAAATTCACAATTCGAGAATGGTACTGTGATGTTCCACTGGTGATTACAACCAGCTTCATCAAGCGAGTCTACAGGGGATCTCTGTGTGAGTCTACAGGGGGTCTCTGTGTGAGTCTACAGGGGGTCTCTGTGTGAGTCTACAGGGGGTCTCTGTGTAATTCTACAGGGGGTATCTGTGTGAGTCTACAGGGGGTCTCTGCGTGAGTCTACAGGGGGTCTCTGTGTGAGTCTACAGGGGTCTCTGTGTGAATCTACAGGGGGTCTTTGTGTGAGTCTACAGGGGGTCTCTGCGTGAGTCTACAGGGGGTCTCTGT